AGTGTAAATATGGCGGAGGCGTTAAATTTCACAGTCCAATCTAACAGGAGACACGTGGTGACTATCGCTCTTAAGGGGATTGTTGTTAAGAAGAGTTTTGAACAAAGAAGATATAATTTGGTAATCGCAATAGCGTGCACAAACCTAATGTAGTACGGGGCTTTGCCGCTACCTTTTGTGAGCAGTCCCTACACGCAAGCCGTTAGTGGCTTGCTGGCGGACCGCTGATGGCAATGCCAGTGATCCTCTAGTGGTATCCACCGGCAGACCACCGGTTGGTCACTGGGTGAGCCTCTAGCGGTTCGCCAGTGATAACATTGCCGAACCGAACGCGCCGGCCGGAGGGCTGACAGCGGGCCACCAGCGTGAAGATCTAGTGGCATGCCACCCAGTGGCAGATTGTTGGATTGGGTGTAGGGGTATTATTTGGCTGATGGCTGTAAAGATGGACGAAGCAAGCATGTCGAACGATACGGCGAAAGTAGGTATTAATAAAAGTATTTTTTAAAAGGCCAAATCCCTCATAGTTTGTTCTTTAGTCACACAGACATATGTCATTTACTAATTGTTCACCCGATATAAGGTCAATGAGACACTCAATGTAGAAGGTTGTTGCATGAACGTGAGAGGAAAAGGTAAGCAGTGCAAATTATAAGGAAACGTGGTAATGGTTGGCTCTACATTAAGATTGTAGCGATCGGGGAAGCATACCCTCGGGAGTTTGTTCTACAGAGTAGCGGTTCTTAGAAACAGAATCCGAAAAGAATGTGGATTATTCCTTCCAGTGACATGTCAGTTCCTGGCGTTTAAGGATTGAACTAGTATATTATTGAATGTTGGTTGGTTGATTCGTTTTTTATGTCTTATCAACCCTTTGCGGGTTATTTAAAGGCAGAAATATTTTCAGATTGTAAGGAATTTTTTAGATAATAATGATTTAGTGATACTAATTAACCCATATCTGGGGGTAGAAGAAGTTTCTCAAGGATATTTGTCTGTAAGTGAATATAACGAACTCAACCGGAATTGGAACTCTGCTCTCTGATTCACAATCCCAAGTCCTTATCTATTACACCACCTGCACATCCAAGCTTACAGCTGCTAGTATCTCCAAGCGGTCACCGATCCAGGTAATGAACAGGTTTGACGTTGCTTAACTTCTGTGATCGTAGGAACCGATGTTTCAACGTGATGTGGTTGTAAGCTCTTCAGACTATCTCTTCAGAATGTTTGCCATGGAAATAACGATAGGATTGCCACGTTTCGTCTGTGGGAAAGGCATTGCAAAATGGAAAATAATTTGCCACTCACAAGGCCGTGTAGGCTCTTTTGAACTTTATCAAGGTCAGAAAGTGAGGACCGGGTAGATCCAACATCAATATGACAGTAGTATTACATTTTTGGTCTGGTCTTGTTGTTGTATATATATATATATATATATATATATATATTGTAATCATTTATATATGAAATATGAATACAACTTGATGCTCTCAACTCACTTAAAATTGTTGCATTTGTAGAATCAATCAAAACCAATCAATATCCCAAAATATAATCGCAAAATCTTTTTACAGTAATGATAGACAGAATCGGAAAACAGCTCAATGAAATCGATAAATCTTTAATCAACCAATGAAATGACCTTTGATTGTTAAAAAACAATTATATCGAGCAAATATAAGAACCGACAAAGTTATTTGCCCGATTGCACACGAAATTCGTTTATTTATCTGCATTTACGTTTGACGACTTCTTCTTCTTCTTCTTCTTCTTCTTCTTCTTCTTCTTCTTCTTCTTCTTCTTTGTGCCTTGTTTCTTCGAAACGTTGGCGATCATGGCTCACCACAATTTCCTACCCTTGTAGCTCGTAATGACTTTTGTCTTTTTGCCATCTTTCCCCATAACCTGCTTCGCCATCCATTCACTCAAGATCTCAAGGTTGGCTGTGTTTTGCTTTCATCTGGTCCACTTACCTTCAATCTGTCCCGTGAGCATCACATTTTCCGAGCCTTCCTTCCTCATTTTGTGTCCCAGAAAGCTCAACTGTTACTTCCTGATATTAAGCATAAGTGACATTTCTGGTTCTCTTTTCTCTAAAACTTTGTAGTGGCTCACAAGTTTGGTCTATGGTATTCTCAGAATCCTTCTGTAGACCGACATTTCTGTTGCCTCAGATTTTTTATTCATCCGTGAGGAGATTATCCATCATTCACTGCCACTGAGGAGAAATGATTTAGATATTTTTTGTTTATTAATACTTTGCTAAGCTTTTGGAAGGCATCTTTCGCTATCCTAGTGCACCTTTGGATTTCTGTGTCATATTTTTCGTCCTCTGCTAATACGTTTCCCAGATATTTAAACTTTTTTTTACTTGTTCCGTTTCGGTATCTCCAATCTGTAATTTGCATGTTAGGCTGCCCCTTTTGCTAACAACCATGTATTCGTGAAAGCAAATGTTGATGATTTCTTGAAATCGGTAATTCCTCTTCTATTCATTCACTTGCTAAGATTTCGATAGAGATGAAGAGTTTTAGATAGCACTTTATAGTCTGCAGAATGTTCTTAGAATAAACGTCTCGGAAAGGGTCAGCTGTGTTGAAGGATGGAGGGAATTAGTAATTAAAATTGCTGATTATATAAATGAATCAATATCTATTCGAGTCTGCCATGTCAAACCAGCGAGGTACCGCTGTTCTTTATTGATTGTGACCCAAAAAGACAATGCTTAGCTTTTGACGTCAAGATTCACGGAGTGGAATTTGTTTGATGAAAGAGTGCAAGTCTCAGATAAGAGAAAACGTCACCAGTGTTTTTCAAGTTTTTTTACCTGTCAGGGTGGACTTTACTTCTGCTACAGTGTGACCGGTTTGTTTGAGGCAGTTAGGATCGCCTGTAACTCCAGCGAGTGGCGCCTCTTTATCGACATCCCATCCAGGAACCTCAAAGCTGAGCTGTTTCCTAACAATTCCCCTAGCTCACTCGGCGCATCTCAAAGAGGAATACGGCAGTGTCGAGATCTTGCCAGATACCTTGGAATAAGAAGAATACGTTTGGGAAGTTATCGGAGATTTCAAAATGGTGGCCTTCCTGGTGGGTCACCAAGGCGGCTTTATCAAGTTTCCGTGTCTTTGCCTTTGGGACAGCAGATACACCGCGGCACGCTATCATAGGCGGAACTGACCATAGCGGAGTGAGTTCCGTATAGGGAGAAACAATGTCAAATGGGAGCAACTGTCGCACCCCCCACGCAAAGTACTGTTTCCGCCACTGCACTTAATATTGGGCCTGATGATCAATTTGTCACAGCTTTATATTAAGTACCTTCAAGACTTCTTTCCTAATCTCTCTGACTCAAATGTCAAAGCCGGTGTTTTCGTTGAAGAAAGTAGCGTGGAACAGCTTTGTCGGAATAGCTCGGGGTTTCATGGAAAATCATACAACTATGTGGAGCTTGTTGAGACCGTGGTGAAAAACTACGTAAAATGGGTCGCAAGATGTTCCTCAAAGTCTATATCCTTGATGTACATGTTGATAAATTCAAGACGAACCTGGAGTAGCCAGGCAAAGGTTTCCATCAAGACATACTGGACGTTAAACGCCGCTATCAAGGATCATATAACAGAAACATGATGGGAGGCTATATTTTGGGGATGGTTCATGGAACTAATTTATAGTATAAGCGTAAATCGCGAAAAATTGTGTAATCATAGAATAAATAAATGCTATTTTTGAATCATTTATCGATTTGTCCCGACTTTGCATGAGCAATAATGGTCATACTCGCCAGTTTTCCCCAATCGAAATAGGTAAATTTCCGAAATAGCATTATCCTGATCCCCAAAGCAAAGATTGAAGAAAATATTAGCCATTTGTCATACTTTCTAGGCGTAAGCAAATAGAAAATAACAGTTTTTAACCAAAGACAGAAATCGTGTTACACAGTCTAATTTCCCGACTCCACCCGCTCTCCACTTAGGAAGTAAATAATGCGCTAATAATTTTTTGACTTCAATTACGCTAATAATAATTTCTCTACTCCAATTCATTTACATTAAATAATAATATACCAATAATAAATTCTCTATACTAATTCGTCAGTATTTAACAGGTAAATATATCCTACTAATAATTAGCACAATCCAGTCACAATCCATAAACAATGTCCTAATATTAATATATAAATAAACAAATACTGATAATAATTTGCATTTTCCAGTTCGTGTTCATTTAATAAGAAACTAGTTTCTGAATAATTATTTCCCTATTTTATTGTTTTTATATTTAATACCAAATTAATATTAGAAAAATATTTCCTTACTTCATTCTTTTTATATTTAATAAGAAATCAATATCCGAATAATAATTTCCCTACGTTATTCCTTTTGCATTTAATAAGAAATTAATATACGAATAATAATTTCCCTACGTCATTCCTTTTATATTTAATAAAAAAATCAATATTCGAATAATACTTTCCCTTCCGACATACTTTTTATATTTAATACGAAAACAATATAGGAATAATAATTTCCCTACTTAATTCTTTTTATATTTAAGAACTTAATACCGAATAATAATTTCCTTACTGCTACATTTAAAGACTACACAAAGAATACTGTGGCTATAATAATTTCCCAAGTCCAGTCAGTCTCCATACAATTATTCCATACTTATATTTGTCTACATTTAATAATTAATGTCCTTATAATAACCCCTGCCTTTTTAATTTTGATGTTTTAATAATAACTTACGAACTTCAGTTCTTTATTTTAATTTTAATGCCATAATAATATTTCAATACTCTATTTCGTCTCCATTTAATAAGTAAATAATGTTTTAAGTAAAGCTTAACAAATATCCCATATGGAAAAAAAATAATGGTCGGAAGATAAGTAATAAAAATTTCTTTCTGGTTCTTATGGATCCGTAATCAAAGAGTTATAAACATTGCCATACAACATCCCGAGTTCCAATTCTTGCCGGAATGAACTCTCTTACGGCCATCATGCCGAAACGCTGGTTCTCGTAAGATCACCGAAATTAATCAATGTAAAGCCTGGTCAATATCTAGATGGGTGACCGCTTGGGAATATCAGGTACTGTAAGGTTGGATATGCGGGTGGTGCAGTGGATAACGGCACGGAGTTGAAAATTGGCGAACTAAGTTCCAATTCCAATCGGGTTCGTTGTGTTTATTTACGCACAGATAACCTTGGGTAAGGTATGAATCCACCGCTTCTCCCCGAATCAGTGGGTCAATTAATAGGTCTTATATCAGTAAATCATTATTATGTTCATTAAAAATTTCTTAAAAAATAAAACTCTTTTCTGGTTTTAAATAACCTGCCACGGTTGATAAGCCGTAAAGCACAAATCAAGCGGGCGCATTCGACCAACATAATGTGAAGCCGTAAAAAGAGATTAGATAGGAACGTTGTGGTTGAATGCAAAACCGATAATGTAAAAAAAAAATAATGAAAATAAGTAATTTCATAGTTTCAAAGTATTTTATTATTATAACAATTGTTAGGATGCCAACAGTACAACTTCGAATAAAACTGGCGTGTGTGACAATGACAGACATAGTAAATTGAGAGAAGAGTTAAAACGCCTGTCTGATTATATGTAGAGAAAATAATATATACTTAACTGTATACCATGACAAGCACCCATTGTAACTTGACCACAGCCACTACTTTCTTAAGAATTCTTGCAATTTAATTTAATAGCCCAAGAATAGATCCGCTAAAAAACATTGTAAAGTAAGATAAAGATGACGAAACTCGAAAAAATATTTGTAAGAACGTAAAGAAAGAAAAAAATGTAACTTAGACAGTTTTGGTCGATGTGAAAAGAAAGAAACACACACACACACGTTACCTACCGGAAATCAATTTCCCTCTCTCCCCTTTTATCGCTGACATATTGTTCCAGCCAATTTTCTCTCGTGTTTCTTTTACAGAAGAAAATAGAAATGTTCTTTGTTGCAACGCATTTGCAGACGTATGACCCGATTTTCAGTATGAAACTCGTAGTGAATTCAACAAATTGATACTTCTTTATTGACAACATTTTATCATAAATCTTTATGAGATAAAGCTCTAATGCTTTATTGGCACTCCTCTGAGGACCTCGCCGTGTGGTACTAGCTAACAAGCTCGAATTGTCAGTTCGATCGTCACTTGGAACTCCGCAGTTGTGGCGTTGTGCCTAAACTATGCAATACTGAGGAAATAATTATTGCGAATCTGTGCTGATATCGAAACTTACAACAAACTCGGAATAATGCTGTTTTTACATGGAGTTGTCAATGAATTTAGCATTAGAATTAGTCACAGACAGGATCTCATTCGGCGAGCGGTTTATCCTTTCATTAGGTCTTTCTTGCAATTTCCTTCTCCCTGACCAACGCCTCTTTCTTTTTTACTTTGTCTTTCTTTCTTTCTTTCTTTCTTTCTTTCTTTCTTTCTTTCTTTCTTTCTTTCTTTCATTTGTTACCAACTTATTTTTTCCTGCGTTGGCTTCTTTCTTTCTTTCTTTCTTTCTTTCTTTCTTTCTTTCTTTCTTTCTTTCTTTCTTTCTTTCTTTCTTTCTTTAATTTGTTACCAACTTATTTTTTCCTGCGTTGGCTTCTTTCTTTCTTTCTTTCTTTCTTTCTTTCTTTCTTTCTTTCTTTCTTTCTTTCTTTCTTTCTTTTAATTTATTTACCAACTTATTTTTTTTTCCTGCGTTGGCTTCTTTCTTTCTTTCTTTCTTTCTTTCTTTTCTTTCTTTCTTTCTTTCTTTCTTTCTTTCTTTCTTTCTTTCTTTCTTTCAAGAGGAAACCTTCAATAATATTTTAGTGCTTCGATAATTAGTCAATAATGAGCTCATTCTTTCCACTACTCTTTGTTTTTGAATTGACGTACCAAATTTCATGACACGAATTACTCCGCTTGCGGCAATTCTAGTACAATACAATTGTTCATATTTCCGCCATTGCCGGAATAATGCAAAGACTAAAACTGAAACAATGAATATATCTTTTCAGACACATCCTTTATGAGTGTGCTTTCAGGAGTCGAGATTGACTAAAAGCCAGATTTAAAGCTGTCGAATTTGGGAGATTATAAGACTTTAAAGAAAATCGACTACAACACCTTCACCATAAGTCGACTAGAGTAATGTTACTGAAGCTGAGATAATAGCAAAACTGAAATAATGAGACTTTTGTGATAATCAGTGCAGTAGAGAGAAAAATAAAATAGATTAAAATAATTGTAGGACTATTGCGTAAAATGTGACTAGAAAGTTTTGGAGATCGACAGATTCGGAATTTTTTTTAGCGTCTGTTAATTTAGGCCCAGATCTCCTACCGCCGTATTCAGAAAAACATCCTGTAAAAATAATGATCAGTATCTAAACTTTTTTTCTTTACAATAATGGTTTAGAAAATAAAAAGACTTTCTAACAACAAAACAAATTTATGATAAAGACCATTATTTTCACGGCATTGTG